GTGGTATTTGTTCCAGAGACGTCAAAACTTCAAGCAATATCGACAGAGTCCAACCTTTTAAACAGTGCAAACACGTTTGCAGAAAAATATATAAGTACCAAATAAGAAGCTATTCCGTAGTCGGTTTCATGCTTTTATATTTTGTAGTTTAAACGATTCAAAATAACACGCGTTTACGAATATTAAGTAAAACAAAATTTTGAATAATTATGTTGTTTCAGTTTCGTCTGCTGTGGCTGTGGTTCAATACACATTTACTGATACATAAACAAAAAAAAATCATACATACATAACATCACTTAAGCAGTTTTCGAAGAGTTTCGTTCATGCTGTCCAGTCATATTTTTCTTTCGGTCGCGTGTAATATTTAATCAATGGGTTCAATTTTTCAAGAACATAAAGAAAACATAATATGCTAGCGCCTGAGATCAGCATATTTCATCACGCTATGTATACAACTCTGGTAAATCGTGCCCATCCGTACTTAGTTATCATGACAATCTCTTACTTTGTTCTTGAGGAATAGAAAAGCCGGATACTCTTTTCAGGCTTGTTTGTGCCAACTGTGTCATCCGCTGACTGGAGAAGTGCAGTTTGCACGAACGCATTGAACGATTAGTGTATATGCACGATACACAAGGCCTACATGTTAATGTCGAGGACTGATGCCTAAAATCACTTTTGAAACCACCTTTTTGTGTTTGTGTGCTTGCTTTACCACTTGACGTTCGCGACCGGCCGTCGCCGACCTGCCTATCCGCTTTCAATTTGGCGCATGAGCATAACAAAAAAACTTCAGTCTAACTTCTGTCAAACGTCGTGTTAAGAGCTCGAAATAATCTTAAACCTGGTCGAGCTCGAATCTCGCCGTGTTCGTGGCATTCTTAAATACGTATAATCGAATTTTACAAGACTGAACAGTCGTAGTCGAAAGGAGATTCAAGTTTGCATGTGGAAATGCCTGTTCTCAGATGCTGCATGCCCTCGAAAAAAAGAAGCAAATTAGACGTTAAGTGTTTAGACAGTGCGAGGTTCCTCTGTCTTTGAGTCATGTTCACACTGGTTCAGACTGTAGATAAGCAATTTAGCCTGTGCAGTGCGACTGAGGTCATCGCGCAAGTAGATGTATCGTTGCGGACCACCTTGAAGTCTACCATGGGCGCCGCCATTTCAAAGTTCCTTCAGCGCAAATCAAAATGGCGAGATCTCCCCTCGGTACGCATGGAAGTAAACAGTAAGGAGTTCCCGATAACACATTGCACTACAATGCACTCAAAACACCAACCATCGGTCCAACCAACGATATGGGCAATTGGCATAATGCTTTAAGGGTCACGTGATATCAGCTGCAAACGTTAGACGTTAAGTGTTTATACAGCGATAGGCATCTCTGTCTTTGAGTCATGCCAACACTGGTTCACACAGCAGATAAGCAATTTAGCCAGTGCAGTAAGACTGAGGTCATCACGCATGTAGCGCTGGGTATCGTTACGGACCCACTTTTATAGTGCATATTTTACTGGCGCCGCCATTTTGAAGTTCCTTCAGCTCTCAGAAGCAAAAGTGGTGTCAGTGAATCACCACCCGGACGAAATATGTATTACACGCCATTCTGATTGGATAAACTCATAAAAAACACTAATTATTGGTGTTTCCAGTGCTTTGAGGAGCAGCATTCGTACAGGAGCATCCAAGAGTGAATTTTTTCGGTTGGATTTCAATTTTAGACCTCAGTTAATCAGATTTTACTAAGTCTATGCCAGCAGTATGATCAACCTAGCTAGAATGACTCCGGAACTTCCCAAGCCAGTGATACCCGTAATGCCCACCTAGAGTCACAGACAACTTAAAAATGCCAGGGTGTGGCGTATCATTGTTCACGTTTCTTGATTCGCGATTCGTTCGTCAGCGGCTTATCGAGTAATGCCGCAATCTTATTTACTGCGTATAAATATGATCCTCGAAAGTCTCTACGCCCTGCGGCTCTTAAGTTGACAGGGAGAAGGCGGGGCGCATGTTCGCCTGCTTCTTGCGCAGGGGTTGCGGTGACGCCAGAACACCGAGCTCTGGGCGGCTCGATTGGAAGGATAGTGGGTAGACCTCAAGGCAGCTAGCATTGAGGTCTACCCACGACTGTCCTTCCAATCACAGCCAATCAGAACTCGACGTCCTGACGTCACCGCAACCGCCGCACAAGAAGCAGGCGAACTTGCGCCCCGCATAGGCTGTTTCGAAATCCTCCTGTCGAAGACTGCTGCTTTCGAGGACGCGAGTTCACGTACTTGGCCAGAAACTGCTATTAAAAAAGAAATAGAAAGACGCATCCTGCCAGGGCAGTGATTTCCCTGTCTGCGGCTCAACCTCCGCCGACTGCGGCGCCGAGAAAAGCCTCCGCAGTGACACGCGTCACCTCGCGGACGCCTGAGCTCAGTCTCTTTCATCGTTGGGCGTTTCTTTTCCGACGGACGCAGCCTTGACCGCTCCTGGACAAGGTAAATCCGCCTTGACGTCGCCGCCTGTCGACACCAGGTCGTCATCGTTTGGTTGCCTCGCCATTTTCCCCGCGGATATTTTGTGACTATTTATTATTTCTTCCGACATCTTATAATTACATCATCTTGGAAAAATTCTCGAGCTAACTTCCCCGCCCCTCCCCCTCCACTCCCCCCCCCCCCCCCCCTCCATAAAAAAAAAATGAAAAAATGAAGGAGCGCTATTTTCAGTTTGCAGAGACTGCAGTCCTGGACAATGCATTCGCAACTCTGCTGGCCTCCAGGTTGTACTATAAGGTAGCTCGTTGGGCTGTTAACGGTAATTCGTTACATTTTAGTAGCGTAATCAAGTTTCAAATTTATTTACTTTCGCTGAAGAATTGGAGAGGTGACAAAAGAACTGACAAACTGCTGGACAAAGTCCGCTCCTCTCCCTGGCGGCAACTGAAGCAACTACCAAGAAAGCGTACCAGCTCAGGAAAAAACGATCTAAGCCTTTTTTTAAAAAAGACCCAAGCCATTTGTACAAAATGCAGTCTCTGAAATAAGCTTAACACGACAAAGAGCGTAACAATATTTACTTGCATTGTTTTCAGCCTCAACACTGACTGATAATACAAAGCAAATTGAAACATTGGGAGGCACCTGAGCATCTGATTCTCCCCGTTTGTTCTGGGGAATGGGAGCGTCCAGGCAACGGCATGAAGAATGGTATATAAAGTATTCATTAGCTGGGAATAAGAAAATAATACACTACCCTTTTAGATTGTTTAACTCTGTTTAGCCCTCGTAGTGAACCTTTTCCTCAAAGAGTGCTACGCTGGCGCACGCTTTCTCTTACCTTGCTATCAATAGACTATTTCAAAATGCAGTGCCATCTGGTAGCTCAAAAAGCATTTGCACTTTCGGCAAAGTGATGGCGGCCATGCAACTGTACCTCGTCGGGTACTTTCACTTTCGTGCGTCAATGACAAATAAGAATTGTTTGTTTTTCTCGATCACAACATGTTTATATCTTGATTTGTTCCAGTTTCGATGATGTGAACATAAGAACCGAGCAGTAAAAAGCGAAGGCCCATAACCACTTATTTAAATTTTCGCAATCAAAAGACATTAAAGCCAGAGTTATGCCAAGAGATTAATCAGACCTTGAACCCCACTCCGAAATAAACGCTTATACGCTGCCGTTGTACCTAATTTGTGCGTCGTCCATGTACTGAAGTCTCGAACGTACAGGCCTCGTGTATCCGCTGCGCGCTTGGTAGTATCCTCAACTCCTTTTTTCGTGAGCCTCAAGAAGGCCGCCATTAGTTTGGCAATTGGTGCCATACACCGATTCGATTGAATTGGATTGGGTTCCTCCGGCTCCCCCTTTGTAAAGGGTGATCGGAACTTAGGGTTCTGGATTTAGCCGGTTGGCTCGTCTGGCACTTCCACTTCCGCTGTCTCTTCCGTCTGAGATTGGAGTTCGGCCTATTCCACACGGTTTACCATGCCCTCCATCCGCTGCCTCATTTCCTGCCACCAGGTCTCCTGTGGCAGGAGACCTGGTGATGATAGTGATCAAAGTTGCCAGACTGAATTTTCAAAACGGTCTATTTCCACACAGTTTTCGGTGGGAACCGGGAGAAATATATTTGTCCTATACTTTGTTAACAGAGAAGCCATTTGTGAGCCTTTGCGACTGCCTCGCCTTTTACAGCATTAATAACCCGACTCCGGCATGTATAGAAGTCTGTTCCGGAAACGCCATTCCTGGGACATGGAGTCCCTATGTTCCCCTTAACTTCCATTCATTTGCATGTGAGTGCCATCCCAACGATCGCTTCAGATGGTAGTGGCTCGGACAAAGAGCGCTTGCGGCGCGCCAACAAAGGAAAAGTCCTCAAATCCGTTTACACGAAAACGATTATGACGTTTCTGCGGCGTCCCAATGGAATTTTTCCGCCAAATCGCTCCAAGAAAAGCGATGTTTTTAGAAAAAAAAGACATTGCATTTTGTACTCGGCAACATTCTAACGACCACAATATATTGAATTTATAAAAATGTTTTCTCGGCGCCAAAAAAAAAACAAAAAACGCCTAGTTTTTATACATTGTTAGACAAACAATTACCTTAATCGTAGGTTAGTGACAAATAGACAACTATAAAGCACCTCTAAACTTCGCAAAGCGAGCAGGCGCAGAGGGAATGACAAGAAACATTCACATCATGCACGAGCCGTAACCCATAACTAATGTATATTTCCAAAATGCTTCGAACAACTCACTTTAGAAAACACATCTGTATATGATACGTGTTTCGTCCTGGTTTCTTCATCTTCCCTTGCACTGCGCTATTAACTACGCCATATGTTTAGGAGCGCATCCGGTAACCTGAAGCGTGATCTTATCGTTATGGCTTTTTATATGAAAAAAAACAAACAAACGTGTTAAAAGGTCTGGTTTGAGATAAGCGGAGAGGATAATGAACCTACCTTCTAACGCAACCCTTCTTTATCCTCGCAGGCTACCCTTGCTACCAAGAGGGCTTCTACCGGGACCAGGACCACTGCGGCCGGTTTTACCGCTGCGCCCCCGTGCGGAACCGACCGGGTGTGTTCACCCTGTACACCTTCGGCTGCCCTGAAGGCACCGCCTTCGACGAGTACCAGCGGGTATGCTTGGCCCCTCACTCGGAAGACCCCTGCTTCAACCAGGTGGCCAGGGCACCCGAACCACCGCGGCGTCGCGTCAACTATCCGGCGCCCGTTCGGTCCAGCTTCCGAGACGGTCATCCACTGCCGTGCCGCGGAAATGGATTCCATGCCCACCCGTACGACTGCAACCGCTTCTACCGCTGCGTCCGCTACGAGCAGGACTCCTTCTATAACGTGTACGAGTTCAACTGCCCTGAGTCACTCGTCTTCGACGAGTACTCGGGCACGTGCAACTACCCGGAGATGAGTTACTCCGAGTGTGTCAACACACAGTTCCAGAACAGTAGCAGCAGCACCTGGAGTGACCGAGGTTCGGACTCCAACACGGACGGTTCACCTAGCTGGTCTCAGCCTTCCCAACCCACGGGAGAAGGCAATCAACCCTCACCCGACGGCGGGTCGACAGCAGAAACGCACGATCCTAGTCAAGGCCAACAGCAAGGTCCGTCAGAGACGCCGCCCTGTACGCGAGAAGGCTTCTTCGCCCATCCAGACGACTGCAACAAGTTCTACCGGTGCGTAAGCGGAGACACGGGATCCTATGTCGTGTACGTGTTCAGCTGCGGCCCGACACTGGTCTGGGACGAGGCCGAAGACACCTGCAACTATCCCCACGCCGTTTCGGGACCCTGTGGAACGGGAGCTGGAGGGCAGCCTTCGCGACCTTCGCCGCCTGTTGGACCACCTCCGTCAGGAGGCAGCGCGCCTCCGGGAGGTCGTCCAGGTCAATCGTCTCAGGGTGAAGGTACAGAGAAGCCTTGCGACAAGGAGGAAGGAGGCACACCAGGAGGAGGCGCACCGGGAGGTGGAAGACCTGGTGGGGGAAGACCTGGTGGGGGAAAACCTGGCGGTGGAAGGCCTGGAGGTGGCAGTTCTGGCGGTGGAAGACCTGGATCTGGCAGTCCTGGTGGTGGAAGACCCGGAGGTGGCAGTCCTGGCGGTGGTATGCCTGCCCCGGGCGGATCGCCTTCAGGCCAAGACCTACCGTGTCCGAACGAGGGCTTTTACCGCAACCCGACTAACTGTTACCGGTTCTACAGGTGCGTCAAGAGAGAAAACAGTGGTGGCAGCGGCAAAGACTATGATGTCTACGAATTTAATTGCCCCGAAGGGCTCGTGTTTGACGAGAGGTTCAGCGTGTGCAACTGGCCTCATCAGGCAGCGCCGTGTGATGAAAGTAGTGGCGAACCGGGACAAGGACAGGGTGGACAACCAGGACAAGGTGGACATCCTGGACAAGGAGGGCGACCAGGACAGGGCGGCCGACCAGGACAAGGCGGACAACCTGGAGGCCAGGGAGGGAGACCTGGCCAGGGTGGTGAACCTGGTCAAGGTGGACGACCTGGACAAGGTGGACAACCTGGCGGACAAGGAGGACAACCAGGACAAGGTGGAAGACCAGGACAGGGTGGCCAACCCGAACAAGGGGGTAGACCTGGGCAAGGTGGTCAACCGGGACAAGGTGGCCAGCCTGGACAAGGAGGACGACCAGGGTCGGGTGGACAGCAAGGACAAGGTGGCCAACCCGGAGAGGGAGGAAGACCAGGTCAGGGCGGCCAACCGGGGGGACAAGGTGGCCAGCCCGGACAGGGAGGAAGGCCAGGCCAGGGTGGTCAACCAGGTCAGGGACAGCCAGGGCAAGGAGGGAGGCCAGGACAGGGTGGACGTCCAGGTCAAGGACAACCAGAATCGGGTGGGCAGCAAGGACAAGGAGGTCCTACCGAGGGTTCGAGTCCAAGCCGGCCTAGCCCAGCAGAGGGCGGTCGAGATCAAGAACCAACAAAGCCGCCCTGCAAAGGGGAGGGCTTCTTCAGGCACCCTGACAGCTGTTACCGATTCTACCGCTGCGTAAATTCAGGCAGTGCTAGCAACAACTTTGTAGTATATGAGTTCAACTGTCCCGAAGGTCTAGTATTTGACGAGCGCTATAGCACCTGTAACTGGCCCTCTGACGCACCCCCCTGTGACTCGGCGATGCCGCCGTCGGAAGGTCAGGCCCCGTCCAGGCCTGGAGGACGTCCTGGAGGCCCCGGACAAGGCGGTAGTGCCGGGCAGCCAGGACAGGGTGGAGGTCCGGGACAACCGGGACAAGGAGGACAACCAGGACAACCGGGGCAGGGAGGGCAACCAGGGACCCCAGGGCAAGGTGGACAGCCTGGAGGCCCAGGCGGAAGGCCAGGCAAACCAGGCCAAGGTGGGCAGCCTGGAGGCCAAGGCGGAAGACCAGGTCAGCCAGGACAAGGCGGACAACCCGGAGGTCAAGGCGGAAGACCTAGTCAGCCAGGTCAAGGCGGTCAGCCTGGAGGTTCAGGACAACAGAGTCACCTACCGTGCCCAAACGAGGGATTTTTCCGCAACCCCGATAACTGCTACCGCTTTTACCGCTGCGTCGACACCGGCAGTGGATACGTAGCATATGAGTTCAACTGTCCTGAAGGGCTGGTGTTTGACGAACGGTTCAGTACCTGCAACTGGCCTGATGCTGCGCCTCCTTGTGACCAGAAACCTCCACTAGGCAGACCAGCTCCTGGCGGAAAACCCGGTGGCGGGAAGCCCGGTGGCGGGAAGCCCGGTGGTGGGAAGCCCGGCTCCGGAAAACCAGACACTGGAAAACCAGGTCCTGGAAAACCTGAACCATCTCCATCTCAACCTGGCTCTACGCCTTCTGGTCCCGAATCTTCCCCCGGCAGTACACCCGGTGCAGAAACCACTGGACCTGGTACTGGGACGACGGGATCCCCCACCGACAGCACGGAAACGACTGTCAGTGGTACAGACAGCACTGGAACCACACCGATGGGTACAGATGGCACAGGAAGTACTGGAACTACTCCAATGGGTACAGATAGTACAGGGAGCACTGGAACCACACCAGCCAGTACAGACAGCACTGGAAGCACCAGCACTCCAACGGACAGCACGGGCACGACTCCGACCGGAACAGATAGCACAGGTTCAACGCCTACAGGAACTGACAGCACAGGAACTACTCCCGCTGACAGCACAGGAACAACTCCAGGCGGTACTGACAGCACCGGGTCAACGGGTACCGACAGCACAGGTTCCACTGGTACTCCACCTACTGGTACTGACAGCACGGGAACTACCGGTCCCGCTACAGACGGGACCACAGAGAAGGACTGCGACAAGACCACAAAGCAACCGCCTAGCGGCGGGGGCAGACCAGCGGCTGTCAAGGAACCCAATGGCAAACCTTCAGAGCTCAGCTGCCCCCGGACAGGTTTTTTCAGACGCCCGGGCAACTGCAACAAGTTCTACCGCTGCGTCGACTTCTACATGACCGGACGCAATTACGTTGTGTACGAATTTGACTGTCCCGAAGGCCTAGTCTTTGACGAACGATACAGCGTATGTAACTGGCCCGAACAAGCAGCTCCTTGCGAAGAAGGACCGCCACCTCCGGGGCAAGCGCCTTCAGGTCCGGAAGGAGGATCCCAAGGTACGTTACCCAGCAGTTCTAGATTTCAGGGGTCGGTTAAGTAGATTATAATGCAATTAATGCAAAGGTGCAAGCGAGCTGGACAAGAATGACAAAAATAATCCCTGGAGAAGGGGAACAAGGGGGAGAAAGAACAAACAGAAATCTCCAAACACAGCTAGGTGACTGGTGCGCGACCGAAAAAAATCCGCCTGGTCTTGATATCGAAGCAGGGACCTCTCCATTTCCAGTGGAGCGCTCTACCAACTGAGCTAACCAGGGGTTAGACGTCACTAGAGCAAACGGGTTTTATCAGCTGCCACCAGTCTAACACCAACAAGGGTTAACCACCTGGATTTTACGGTTATGATTATAATTAAATTAATGCAAAAGTGCAAGCGAGCTGGACAAGAATGAGAATAATAATCGCTGGAGCTTAGTAAAGACAGTTATATTACTGACTAAAAAAACCTAGCTCAAATTGTGTATTCGAGGACAACTCGTGTGCCGTATCCTTTGGGGCTCTTGTGACAAATGATGATCCTTTAAAGGGGTTCAGGATCGAAACATAACATATCCCTGGAACACTTAAAAACGGGTGAAATATGATACATGATATCCGTAAATTATAATCACACGTTTGTCTTTTCAGCGGATGGCTATATGTTTCGTTCCAACCAACGGCTCCTGTCGAGCGCTTCGAAATCAACCATCGAGGCGGCGCGATGCATTTCGGGATATATTCCCGTGACGTCACGTACGGAACGTCACGGGCCCATAAACGGCCAAGGATACCATAATTACGACCGTCGTCACTAGGTGGCGCCAGCTTTATCGTCAACGCGTTACAATCCCGCTAATTGGGAATGCCCGAGGTATGGTGTCTACACCATACACCATCGGACACGCAGCGCCGTGGTGCTGCTACTGATGGACCCATGACTTCAAACATTCCAACGAAACACGCCCCCCCCCCCTCTCCAAACACCAGGTGGTATTGGGAAATCGTTTTATTTGTTTTTTTTTAATTACTTTTCTTGCGTTGACAGACAAAAGACAGGTGTTTGTGAGCTGCTGTCATAAAAGCAACTCGACTGCACATAGAAATAGGTGCTAAAATTTTGCTTCCGTACCCCTTTTAAAGCCCTAGAACGTTGTCAACTAAAGTTCAATCCTAAAAAAAAAAGAAAAAAAAGAAGAAATAAACTAGACGAAGAAACGATTACAAATACGACGGAACAACTGAGACTATACTTAAGTGTCTTGAACAAAATATTGTGCAATACAACGTGACGCATGCCTAAAGCGCCTACAAATAGACAGGTATTCGTATGATACTACTTGTTTTATTTTGTACTTTTTTATTTGAGGAACACGATGACACTGGTGGTTACTGTTTCGAAACTTCATGGGATAGTATGTCGTAAAGATCAAGGTTTTGCAATACGCTGGCATATGGAGTTGCAAAATGGTTACATTGCATAGTGGTTCGGCAGCCCTATTGCACTTCGCTCGTCAGGAAAACCCGAAGACAGTGATCTTGAAGATCGGCTTGTATAATAACATGTTTGAAACCGAACAACTATAGATATCAGAAAAACACGTGTCTTATCTCTATAATTCGACATTGCTAGAACCTGAGATAATAAAATTAGGAAAGGAGACGTTAAACTTTTTTGTTTGTTCAAGAGTCGCCAGCTCCCTTGCGCGATCACTTTTCTTTTAGTTATCTAAATCTGGCCGGGTAGGCGAGCGAGGGCGCAGATTTAGTTGTAGCTACTTCACTTGAAAAAATAAAGCAACATGCCAGTGAGATAATTCAAGTAAGACTTTCGTTATTCGGCGTTCGGAAGTGACCCATAATTGAACGTCAGTGTTATGTACCCTCGAGCGCAAAAAAGTCTATACGCCAGTGATTATTTAAGCACATACTCCGACGACAAATACAATCATAATTAGATCAGATGGTGGCACCAGCAAACTGTAAAAGGGTCGCTGGGAATCAATCTGTCAAATATTTATTGGCTGTGTCTGTATACGTTCTCAAGTAGCCACGCTTCCAAAGCTTGACAGGCCACCGTGTGTAAAAAACACGTAAGGGCACAAATCTGGCAACCGTGGGCACATCTTAGCAAGGGTTCCCTATAAGACGATCTACAAACACCGGCATTAAAATGGCGGAGCCCAGGGGTCGTAATTACAACAAACGTGTATACGTGCAAGATATATTGGCATTTTTCACAAATCATTTTGTATCCATTTTTTTTTTAGAAGGAGGATCACCTGGAGGTCCAGGACAACCTGGGGAGCCCGGTGAACCAGGACAGCCTGGGGGACCGGGCCAGCCTGGAGGTCAAGGGCCACCCGGAGGTCAAGGACAGCCCGGAGGACAGGGTCGACCAGGAGAGCCCGGTCAACCTGGAGTCGCTCCCCCCGCCACTGATGTCACCTCGCCAAAGCAGCCGTCCACGCCAGAGTCTACGGGACTCCCGTGCCCAAGTCAGGGATTCTTCAGGAACCCGAGCGACTGCCACCGTTTCTACCGATGCGTTGACCTCTCAAGCGAAGGCAAGGGATTCGTGGTCTATGAGTTCGACTGCCCCGCTGGACTCGTCTTTGATGAGAGGTTTAGTGTATGCAATTGGCCCGACGACGCGGCTCCTTGCGACGGCGGTCAAGACGCGCCTTCCACCGGAGGCGCACCTCCGGCCGAACAAGGGGAGACTCCTAGTCAACCACCTTCTGATGGTGACACTCCTAGTTTCCCACCTTCAGAAGGCGAGACTCCAAGTTCCCCGCCCTCGGGTGGCGACACACCCGTCTACCCACCAACGGAAGAAGAGACACCTAGTTACCCTCCCAGTGGAGGTGGCACTCCCAGTTATCCTCCGACAGAAGGCGGACAGCCGAGCCCGCAACCAAATCCCGAAGAACCGGCAGATCAACCAGCGGGCGACTGCGAGCCGCGGTGCAGCAGGACGGGCTACTTCCGCAACCCAGGCGACTGCAACAAGTTCTACCGTTGTGTAGACTTCTACCAGAAGGGGTCCTACGTCATCTTCCACTTCGATTGTCCCGCTGGACTGGTCTTCGACGAAAGGTACAGCGTCTGCAATTGGCCGCACGACGCCCCGCCTTGCGACAGCTCAGGGGGCGAAGGAGGCGCGGGAAGCTGCGCTCCGAGTCGGGGACCCTCACCACCGTCCGGCCCATCGGAACCGCAGCCCGGCCCTCAACCCCAGCCTCAACCCCGGCCACCGCAGCCACCTATGCCACCTCCGAGGCCAGCTGACTCATCGGTGTGCAAGCGGACAGGCTTCTTTCGAGACCCTGCAGACTGTCACAAGTTCTATCGTTGCGTTGACCCGTACCAGAACGGGAAACTTCAGGCAGTTCACTTCGACTGCCCGGCGGGACTAGTATTCGACGAGAGGTACAGCGTCTGCAACTGGGCTCACGATGCTCCTCCCTGTGACGGTGAGCCCGAAAGGCCAGACCAGCCGAGCAGGCCAGAACCCATAGAGACGTCAACGCCTTGTGACAAGACGACCTCCAGCGACGAGGAGTCGACCACTGCGGCGATGTCGACGGAGGCCACAACTGCGATGGAGTCGACAACGGCCGCAGCAACGACCCCGGCAGAATCGACGACCGCGGAGGAAAGCACGACCGCAGCCGCGACGACGGAGGCTCCGATGACCACAACGCCGTCCAGACGACAGGCCAAGAAACTCGATGATCTCATCTGCGACCGCATGGGCAACTTCGCTTTCGAGGGCGATTGCATCCACTTTTACCGTTGCACCAGCAACAAGAAACAGAAGGCCGAGTTGTTTAAGTGCCCCGATAAGTATGTGTTTGATCCGAAGATCGAGTTCTGCCGGCGCAAGCGAAAGAGCTTCAAGTGCGACAAGACGCCGTCCGAAGAACTTATGGCCCGACTTCCAGCAAACTTCATGCAGTCAGCCATTGAAGCTGGACCGGGCTTCTTATGGGATTGAGTGTATGCATCCGTGTAGTATGGCCGTCGTCCTATCTTGTGCTTCCTCTTGTTTCTACTTTTTTTTTTCGGTGTGTGCGTGAGAGTTTTAAAGGCCCGCGAACACCTGTCCTGGTTCAACCGTTCAAGGTTCAAGGTGCAGCAGGAAGCGTAAAGAAAACTCAAGTCGGCCCAACTGCCATAATTTCGAAACGATCCATTTTGTGTCGAATCGTTTGCGTGGCCGTATAGTATTTATTACAGTAGCCTCCTTCGTGTTTCTCCTCGTGTGACGTGCTCGTTTTGTTGGGCGCCAAACCGAACTGTCTACATTTCGTTGTTACGGCTGTTGTCCTTGCTAAAAGTGCCTTCAACGCACTACGTGCGGACGTGTTCGGGAGCTTATTCACAGGTGTAGATTTAGGAACAAGCTATTGTCCTTTCGTATCTTGTAAACCGTGCCAAAAACCGCGAGCACGGCACACTGGAAGCACCATCGGAAATGCATCACGCGTCTAGGAGACGCCATCTTTTGCAGGTGAACCATCCATCATTCAATGCTTGCTCGCTCACTCTATTCGCTTTCTACTACTTGTCATTTTTTACTATTTGTACCACCAATGTGAAAATTGTCTAGATGATAAGTGCTTATGCTGCTGCTTGAGCACGTTGTAAGTGAAGGAAGCGGTACAATCGTCATTACTACTGAAGCTTCAAAGGCCACTGCTGTGACACAATTTCTGCTCGCTTTTGCCGGGTAAAAGTAAAGGGCTGCCAGCCACCAGACACCCTGAAAGGTGTACAAGGACGAACCGCCATACAGAGTATCCGAACATGCACAGAACGCCAAGCGTTTCACCTGTTCTCGGCAACATGTAACCCGACGTTTAAAATAAGGCGAGCTTTCATAGACTGCTCCAAGGATGCTTTATCTGCGAGGACATCGCAGGGCGATTCACGGTAGAGTCACTTTGTCTAGCTCGAAGATGACCGCTTGCAGCAGCAAGCTCTGTGGGATATAATCGATATCGATCTATGCTTCGTTTCAGCCTATATACGACGGAAGACCTTGAGATGAAACGGGGAATAGTTCGTCACTTTTAAACTAAATAAGACTTAGTATTTTTATTTAAAAACTGCTTGGTTACATTTTCAATTTCGCAAAGTTTGTCAAGTTAAGAAAAAAAAAGACCGGTAGAGCAAAAATCAAAACAAAAAGCTTCTATTAGATAAGCAACATGTCTGTAAGCATCTTCGCAAACAGCAGCGCTTGCTGCTCTTTACGCCAATTCTTCACTAATTATTTTTGTTATAGTCGCTTCCTCTATTTGCTTGTGCCATTTAATATGAGAACATGAATCCACCTCATTACCTCTGGAGAGAAGGACTCGTCACTATACTGAAGTCGGGATGTTTATGTCGAGCTCCTCATAGTATTGCTCAACTTCCCCGCTCTAGCCATGTCATAAGTCTATTTATATGTGTACACCTCGCATTATTTTACTTGTAATCTGTATGTTTCTATATACAGGGGAGCTCCTCTCTTATTGGGGGAGCTTTCGTAGGCACCACCTTGGTTTTCTGTTTGTTTTATAAATCTAGCAGTATTTAAAGGTGCAATTTTTTCAACGGGCTGTACATAGGAGAGGTTGGGAGGCTGTCATGGTTCGGTGTCTGGGTCTTTCTTTGTACGTGGGAGCGGGATACCCCTGGCAGGGTTCTCCGTTTTGAATGTCGCTTCGATGTTTGAGTCGCGAAAGATGATCTATGTTTTCTTGCATGTGTGTGTTGGAATAAAACGTTAGACCTTGTACACCTGTTCCCGTGGTTGTTCCTTCGCGACGAACGTTTGTAGTCCTTTTTGCTCTGGCTGGAAACTATATCCCAACCCCGCCACGAGTATACACTGCGCAAAACTGTTAGCGTGAACGCAACATCGGCGCTCTTCCGCGTTTTGATCCGAAAGGGTTTAGGTGGGCACTATACTTTAACGCTTAGGTTGGTGCCCCAAGTAAGCACTTTCCATCACATTAGCAGTTCTTAATGAGAGACTTCCGATATTACGAGCAAAAAACAAATAAAACCGATGATTGCTTTGTTCGTGCTAACAGTGTCACGCAGTTTGCGTGGTGTACTACAGGGCGTCTCAAATAGCGACCAGGCTCTTTCAATTGACCGCAAAAATAGTTTTCTTAACCTATCGCGCTACGATTTTATGCAGCGTTCCCTACAGGGGTGCATTTTTCCATAAAATTTGCAAAGAGCGAACTTACCCGAGGAAAAAGTAAAAAAAGAAAAAAAAAAGAAAAAGGCTTAACTGCTATGGAAACGCAGCGAATCCACCAGTCTTCAAGCAATAGAACGCCGTTGGCACGGGAGACAAGAGATATCGCAAGCGGTCGCGACGCCAACTGCCGCCAACGAACGAGCATTCGGCGCCGAGAGCCAGCGTCAAAAGGCAGACGATATTTTCGACTCAAAAGCGGCGCGAGCTTCTTCGATGTCAGTTGCCAATGCATCATTTTATCACCCTTACTAATAAAACACAATGAATGGACACATAATCGATTAAAAAATGGTTTGTCGGGTTATTTTGACTGTTTTTCCAGGGGTACTTACGTCGTCTGCTTCGCAGGAGTTCTCGCCGCCTGCGGAACACACGCCGCTTTTTAGTCAAAAATATCGTCTGCTACTTGACGCCGGCTCTCAGCGCCGTATGCTCGTTTGCTGACGGCAGTTGGCGTCGCGACCGCTTGCGCCATCTCTTGTCTCCCGTGCCAAACGGCGCCCTATAATTTGAAGACCGGTAGCTTCGCTGCGTTTCCAAAAGTTGAGTTTTTTTTTGTTTGTTTTTTACTTTTTTCTGAGGTAAGTTTTCTCTTTGCAAGTTTTATAGAAACAAAATGCACCCCCTATGGGCAACACTGCACGAAATCGTAGCGCGATTTTCGCGGTCGATTTAAAGAGCCTGGCCGCTATTTGAGACATCCTGTAGAATCAAAGAGTGCAGTGCCCGAGGCCAGATTTCTACTTAATAAAAATTGAATTACTCAAACGTAATTAAGAGCCCCATTACTTCGAACGTTTCTAACTTATCTAGAGACGCTCCTTGGCAGCGACCAATATGAAATCAACCTTTCCTCTGTGCGATGTGCACTTTTCGTGGGAGCGATTTGACCAGCGTTCTGTAAAACGGTGGTCGCTAAGCAAGGCTTTTTACATGACTATAACTCCTATATAATAAGGTGACCCAAGTCACCAGACTCGGTCTAAAATGGACCGTAAAAATCGACGCTTGCACGTAGGAATCTAAGCTTTTCGTCAAAGGTGTATTTCACGCGTCGGTTTTTCTTCTAAAATTAGAAAGCGTAGCTCCCTTTCTGTAAGAAATAGGGCCGAGAAACTTGCCTGGGTCAACGGCGGGCGGCGACGCAGACGACCAAGTCGAGGCGCGGGGTGTGTTAGACGCTCGTATGGATAGATGGCGCTACCTCCCTGTTTCGGTTTGCTCGTAAAGGGATATCGAAAGTGCCCGCGTCGACCGTGGTCTATTAATGCGAACGTAATCTTTTTTGTAATCTGCCTTTGGCTTAAAAATAAATGCAGACAACGATAGCAAAACTTCAAGTAACAAAAATAAAAGAAAGCGCGGTTGCATAACGACGGCGCTGACGGCGCTCTTGCTGCTGACGGATTTCGTCTGCGTGTTGTCCTTTCTTTCGCTGGTCAGTTGCATCCTCCGACGCTGCCTCCGAGGCCTTTTTTGTCGCGGTTGGTGGGAAAACAGCCACAATGCGTCACTTTGGACGCTACTTGGACAGCACTTTTTTGAAACACGGGTGGGTATACGTACCAAAGCAAACTCCAGATAAACAGTAATTAATGGCTCTGAAAGGGCCTGTCAGCAGAAGTCCGCGGTTTTCGCGGTTGTCCAAGCCGCTGGTCATATGTGCAAAATGGTTAGATATGCGCTCTTCAGTCCACATGTCCACCTCGAACTCGGAGGCACTTGTGCAGTCTTCGCTCATAATCCCTGAAGGCTGCCTCCAGCATGTTGTCCGTGATCGCATCGAAGGCGGATAAAATGCGCTCTCGTAGTCCCGTCATCGTGCGCACGCGAATGGTGTAGACCTGGGCTTTTATGAAACCCCCAACAAAACAAAAAATCACAAATTGTCAGGTCAGGGTACCGTCGGTCACCCCCGACCCATCCAGTTGCCGGGAAAGGTCCTGTCAAGCCAGTCTCTCACTACGGTGGCGTAATGCGGGGGTGCTCCATCTTGCTGGAAGATGCACACCTCCCTTTGCATGTGCGAAGCTTCTAGTTCCGGCAAGACGTCCCGCTAGTGTTGGGGCATACGAAGGTAGGCGTCGCCGGTGACTGTGCCCTCAAAGAAGAATGGACCGACAGCGCCTTGTCTCCAAAGTCCACACCATACCACGACCTTTAGTGACTGGACAGCCTCTTCAATGAACCAGTGGGGGTTTGTCTCTGACCAGCAGCGGGTATTTTGCTTGTTGACGTGCCCATCCAGATGTAAAATAGCTTCGTCCGTGAAAAGCAGAAACGGAAGGTGGTTCCTGTTTGTGGAGATGCGCCCAAGTTCGTCCACGCAGAACTTCTTTCGCCATTCATGGTCATCTGGCTGCAGCTCGAACAGGACCTGTGGCTTAAACAGACAGATTTTTTGGCGAATGACCCTCCAGACGAAACTTTTACTGATACCAAGTTGTCTTGCGACTTGTTGCACGGACAGCCGTGGGTTCAATGCAAATGCCGCAAGCACGGCGTGACGATTGTTCTGCTGTGGCGACCTCTCTTCGAGTACTCGCAGCCTGGTCTGCACAGTATTTTCCATGTTGAATCGGTGTACCCAGCGCATGACAGTCCGAGGGGTGGGTGGACGCCTACGAAAAGTAGCTCGAAACTTCGAGCTCATTTGGCCTCATACTCCTGCAGGAGTATGAGGCCAAATGAGCTCGAAGGACTACCTGTGCCCTCTCTTGGAAGGTCAGGTTGTG